AAAAATAAAAACAATTCAATGAATATAGTAAAGGTGTGGGGAACAAGGCTGTCGGGGTTTTTTCAGGTTGCGATTTTTTTCAGGTTAGGCCGATTTTCCTTACAGACAATAAACAACAAATAGACCAACCATTAGCAAATATTATCGAGATCTTAGGATCGGTTCTAACCCGATTTTAGTTAGAAAAAGCATGACTCTGGGTCATTCTCAAATAGTAGTCCTTGACAAAAGGCAGCTTGTATTGCCTACAGGAAAACACATGATTTATTCAATCTAGTGGGTGGAAATGTTGAAGTGGCAAGTGAGGGATGCGCCACGTATTCTACTTCCGTTCACAATCGTGGTGGCTTACTGAATGCGATGTGGCCTATACAATGACTTGCGGGGGCCAGCCGATGTACAAGTCAGTGTTTTATCCTCCCAGACGAATCTGGTACCAATTTACCGTCCCCGGAGAATAGAGGCTTGGTTGGTCTGGGCGAGAGATCGGATCAGGGATCTGACCCTAGGAGATGATAAGCGTGCCACTTGCCACTATACAGTCTCCGCCTACATTATTAGTTGTAGTTGATATTAACCTAGCGCTTTGAAAAGCTTTAGAGATATTTCGAGCTTTTTAAGCTTCTTGAAAAAAGAACTTTAAGGTTTCATACTGTTCAAATGTTTAAAAAAGTAATTAAATCAGACCTTCACTTTGAAATGTTCTTTGAGCCGGTGGAGAATAATCTGCGAGTCGGCGATATGCTCGCCATTCAACTCGATAAACGGCAAAAGACCGTACTTTGATCGTGCCATAGAAAGCGTACACACCTGAAAGAAAAATGCTGGCCAGCGCTCAATATCTAGTACTGAAAAGTCCAATACTTACTTCATAGGGAATATTGTTGACCTTTAGGAATGTCTCCACCTTTGAACAGAACGGCGACAAATTTGGCACTGACTTAATTCGTGGGAACTGGTAGAGATAGACGACGTCGGGTTTCCAATCATGCTTGCGTATTTCACCCTGAAAATAGTTATTAGGAACGGGCTCGAATGACGTTTTTTAGGGTTTTTGGTGAATTCTAACATGCCTACATGCCACGTCCAAGCATCGGAGAGGATTTCCACTGAGTGGGACATTTCGCTCTCTCTCCTCCTCCTTCCCACATTTCCCTTCTAATATGACCCCTCACAAACCAATTAAGCGTTTTAGCAAGATCAAATTTGTCGTCGAGCGTGAGAAACGGGAAATCAGACAAACTAGAAGGGAAGTTCTTTTCCAGGCGCCTTATAGCACTGATAGTGCCCTATTCTGACTCCATTTGCTACACTCTGTGCAGCACACGCTGAGAAAAAAAATTCAAAATGTATGGAAGTCTGACTTTCCAATGCACAACCAAGTAAGTTCTCCAACAGGGACAGTCACTGAGGGGATGACGCCAGGAATTAGGAAGAGTCATCCGACAATAGCCAAGAGCTGATCATCGACCATAGTGGTAAATACCTTTTGCAGAATGCAATGCGTCAACTGGATGGGAAAACATAGTAGTAGAGACCGACGACCGGCAACTACACCGATTAGCAGAGGCGATTAGTTGATTTCGAGTGTGGTCAATCGCGGTTTGCAGCTGATATCTGACGAAGACGACTGTTCATGGCGAACTGTGGTTTCTGACATGCCCCATCTCGCTCTAACATGTGTATCTGGTCGCGAAAACAATATGAACGAGTTAGCATCGGAGCTGAGCAGGAGGAGCGAGCGGCTTGGAAAACAAGAACATAGCGAACAACACGAAAAAGACCCTGCTCCGTGCCTACTTCTTCGATTCCGTGGTCTTTCCTGCTTTATGCCTCAGGACTTGGATTCTTACGAAGCAGGGGATGGGCAGGTGCTCATTGCAACGCGGCCATTGAAAGGGCGATGCTCGGATGTCTCGCCCTAGACGGAAGTGAAGAGGAGGGAATCCGATTGTCCGCACGCCGCCAACGGATCGAAAAATAACAGAGAGGCCGCCGTGTTTGCCAAGGTTTCGATCATCAGCTGGGTCCCGCAAGCCATGCTCCTCGAAGATGACCGCGAAAGTTCATCGTGTCCCTCGAGCAGAGAGTTCATTGGGCAACTCTTGCACGTTGCAGGGACGAATGGAGACGTTACTGGCGCCCGCTCGAGGAACTCGATGATCAACGGGAGCACAGGTGATACAGGTGATAGGTCTTGGGTTCGCTCAACTGTTGTTTCAAAATAAATTTTAATTCATGGTCGAATGCGCGTTAACTTAACTAGATAACTGAGTTAGAAGGCCAGGGATACTAATTTGAATTCGTTGAAAAGCACTGAACAACATTAAAATTTATAGAAAAAACATTAGAAACAGCAGAATAAGCCCATTCCGCTTCAGAAGGGGAACTACAAGAGGTATTCGGTAAAACTAAGACTGCCGTAATGGAGACGATGATTTCAAGCTGATTAAGAAAAGCCTCACTGAAAATGCAAGAATAAAAGGGAACTCAGTGGTTGCTGAACCGATTTCTTCGAGCGAAAAGGGGTATTTGGTGGTCTCACTTTTACACGGGAGAACCTTAAATGCTCTCTTCCCTCTGGCGGACTTTCCCTCAAAAGCTAGTAAGACCTTCCCCATTATGCTGCATTGAATTCCAAAATTCCACGATAATCTAAACAAAATCTGCAGGTAAACGAATTCATTCTGAGGCCTAATGTGTGTTCAAGGGAAAACTAATGCAAATGGCGTCAGTGGGGCCTACAGAGTATCAAACGATATGTGGCATTTCACACTCACTGAGAAACCTGGCTCCACTATTACCTGTTTTTTGCTCTTCTTTGAAAAGTAAAAGTACGCAGCGGCAGCCACAGCCAACAAGATAGCAATCCAACTACAACAAGTCATCATGGTAAATATAGCAGCACCCAGACGGAGGTGGAGGTTGATGAGACCGACAGTGAGTCGACAAGCGGGTGAAATGGGGTTGTTTGTATCTTTTGGTTGTTGCGCTCCGCCTCCCGTCGTAACGATTGCCAGTTTCGGCGTCGGTGATGCAAAATTGCTGGCGTGCAGCTGCAGATGTTGTTTGTTTACCCTTGAACCATTTGCGTGCACGCATGTCCCCATGGCCTTTTCTGTTTCGGTTCATCCTCCCTTTGCTTCCCACTCTTGCTGATGTGAAAAACATAATGTAAACGAGGTCCTTGTTCGTTATGGAATCCTAATGCTCTGTAAGAGGGCGGGTGTGACCAGAAACCGAGGCGGGTCCTGTTCTTTGATCGTTGTGTGATTACTCGAACACCCCATGGATGCGTGGAGCGCAGGGAAATAAATGGCAGGCTAGGCAGCGAGAGGTTCGAGGAAACCTACAAACCTACCATGAATCAAAGTGAGCGTTCCCATACAGGCGAGGGCTCTGGATGGGTGAGGCACTCACCGAACCTTGAAAAGTTGGAATACGCGAGATTATAAAGTCTATAGAACATTATGTGAGCAAGGGAGCGTGACCGCGAGAAGGGAAGTAGGCGTAGTTCTGCTTGGGGGGGGGGCATTTTACATTTCCGCTGCTCTGCATTGTGTTCATCCCTTTCGAAAATTAGTAGGAATTCTCTACAAGATTTGTCAAGTGGTCTATACGAAGTTTTACGTATTGGGTTGACATAAGTAATGGCGTTTTTTCAACTGAAAATTTTGTTCGAAAGGGAAATGTTTTGCAAGCAAGCTTGATATCATCTGTTAAAAACTTCTCGTAGTATAAGAAACAGCTTCGGTTGAGGGAATATTTTTGTGAAAATGCCAAAATGCCTCCCCGAGAGACTGGTGCAGTTCAAAAAACTTAGTAAGCTGGCTGGTGTGTGGCACGTTAACATGAATGGGGATTTATAAAAGATCTGTTGAGCGTTCCAAGGAAAAGCAGTGGCTTTGAACTCAGCTAGTTGAATGACGCCAAACAATCAGAGTAACTGGATCCGAACTCCATTCGTCCCCGAAGCCGCATTCAAGTTTCTTTCTTGAGCAACGGGAGACTCCTATTGTATCGATGCATGAGCAGCGTTCTAAGGGGTGCGACTACCTGATACGAGCTCATCTACTCGGTACACCATCTTGTCTGGGTGCAGACAGCCCGTGCGGAACCAGGCCAATTTCACACAGAACCTTGAGTTTGCTACTCATTTTTTCATGAAAAAGGCAGATGGGAAGACCTGATTCAAAGTTATTTGCGTTCATGATGGGCAATAGTTCCTTTGAATATATGCTCTTCTATCGCTCGTATGAGACAGAGTAATCTTTATTCAGCACATTATGTAGTTCACAATCGTAGACATCCAGTGAAATGGAATGGAGACTTCTAATTGATAGACACAGTCCACGCTTATCGTGTGGGCGGAGCTAGTCGACCATTGTGCCTTGCCAAATGGTGCGCCCCAATTTTCAAGATGTTGAAGAGGAGAGGCAAACCAACGAGGCAGCCACAATGGCGCGACTTACTGAGCCCAACATTCGACGTGGATTGTGCCGGTTGGAAATTCTCCTTGAAGCACAGCATAATACAGAAATTACTTAACACAGGATTCTATGGTACAGAAATATTTAGTGTGCGGACAACAGAGATCATTACTCGGCGAATTCCTCTCCGAAAACTGAGTCTCGAATGTGATCGCAGTAAGTGACGAGCTCAGGGTACTGTTCCCGGAGCATCTCTTTGGCATAGTTGTTTGGAGGAATATACAGAAATTGTAGCCAGTTGTGAAAATACTGTACAGTCGGCCTGAAATTACTCGAAATGTACTTCATCATCTAGTAACTCTGGTTACAACTCCGTTCTGGTTACAAATCCGTGCCTACTTTTAGCGACTTAACCACACTGTAGCCGCTTGTGTATTTTGATCTCTAATGCGCTCATAAGCACTGCCTGCAGGGCGCCAGTTTGTCGACCCGGGGGGGGGGGGGTATTAGCTTTCGCATGAGATGCTGGCAACCCATCTAGGTAGCATTTCCGCACGAGTTGACGACCGTTTTAACATGTGATGTATGGTGGGCTAGACGATTTGCCTTCACATCGGTTCACATCGTTTACTTAGGAATGAGAATGCTGTAAACCTGGAACTAGTGAAGCAATGGTGGTGCAAAAGGCCCCCCCCCCGTCGACAAACAGCGCCCTGCCACAGTTGAGGGTGGGGGGAGAGTCAATACGCTAATGCTATGTGCGAATACATCCACCTTAGAAAAATTCCGCGTCAAGGGAAATGAAGGCAGCGCGCTCTGGCTTTTAGGACTTTGTGAGTGGGCTTCTTCCCCGCATTTTCCTTGACTTATAGAAGCGCGATGCCTGCACGAAACAAGCTTCCCGGTGGGAACTCCCCTTCGGCGGAAAAGATAATTATCACTCGGAGGGCGGAACGTCGCCAGGCGATAAGATCAAAAAAGAACAGTGACTAACCGTGCTCATTTCGTCACCGAAAAAGAATTTCTTGTCACCGAGCAGATCTCGATATGTACTGAAGTCCTTGTGTAGAAAACTCTCGAAATCTTCAACTGGGAACTGACCAATAGCAGCGGCGATGCGTTTGTTGGCCTGAATAGTTTCGTTCGAAATTTTATTGCGTTACGGCCGTCAGATTGGCGCGATTTTTCCATCTCTTCATTACTCTCTTGGAAGTTTTCTAGCGTCTTAGCTCACATTTGTTTCTTAAGATGAGAAAAGGAATCCAAAGTTCAACCTTTGGTCTGAGCAGCCATGCGGCAGGACGAACTAGAATGGGTAGTACAGCAGCCGGGCAACCAAGTTCTCGAAGAAGCATTTTCAGAAACTCATCGTTCTTGTCTTCGATAGCCTTGAATCGCGGTACATCCGCCTAAAGCAATAATTAAAGTAATTAATTGGCCAAAGATTAAATTAATTATTAAATAATTATTCTCAGCAGCAATAAAATACATAATTAAGGACACATTCCGCGCTTATCGCATGGGCGGGATCCCCGGACATGGTCATCGGTACGCCGCTCCTAAAGTGGCTAAGAAAAGGGTCGCACCAACGGAGCAGTGTCCAAGTGGCTCCACCCATAAGATGGAATGCGCGTTCAAAAAGGGTAATAAAAAAGAAACTCACAAGGCAGTATGATTTTCAACCATTCTCTCGATAGCTCTAGCGATAGCTTCATCTCTTGGCGATGCTAGCGGCTGAAATACTATTGGATGATTATTTATTTTGAAAGAAGATAGACAATGGCTAGTTTGGTACGCCGCACTTTCAGGCCCACAAGATCAGACTCTATCCCTCTGACGCGACCTCTCTCACGTCCTATCTACCTTCTTACCAAATTTTCCTAAATTTTGGTGGTGGGCAGAGGTCACACCAACAGTCAGAAATAGCTGTGGATCCTAGAAGTAGACGGGTTGGAGACATAGCACACAGGTGCTGCCAAAAATTAACAGCCAAAATAAATATTAACAGCCAAAAAAATTTTCTTGCGACGATCCATGATCCTGTCTTTCCAGTGGCCAAATACGCCCCCCCCCGTTTTGTTCTACACAGCGTATCGTGAACCGTGCTACCAAAGCCTGCTTGTTTCGGTCGGCCCACTTCGGTGCACAGTGAGCATACAGAGTGGTAGGCTCCGCCCCGCCCAACTATCGTGGAATTGGCAAGGAAGGGTCTATTAGGAAATAGACGTATATCTGGTACCTTGACCTCGATTCATATTAAAAACGAGTAATGCGGGGATCTCAAAAACTGAGGCCAAAGCTTAGCGGCTACGCTTTACCCTTACCTTCACATTGAAATGATCCTTGAGGCGATTGATAATGATCTGTGAATCGGCGATATGTTCCCCATTCAGCTCGACGAACGGTAGTAAGGCACGATTTCTTCGCATCGTCCCATCATATAGTGGCCATACCGTAACCAGAAATTGGCATGAGCCCAATGTAACCGCTGACAACCTATCTACCTTCAAGGCTTCCCGCCGTCAATAGCATACATACCGTCATAGCGTATATGTGGACCTTCAAAAGGTTTCCACTTTCAACCGCAAAACGGAGATAAATTTGGTATCGTCTTTGTTCGAGGGAATTGATAGAGATAAACGGTGTCGGGCTTCCAGTCATGCTTACGTAGTTCAACCTGAAATCGAGCATTAGAATGAGGTCAGAGGGCCCCTTCCCAGGACATTTGTGACCTTCGGCGGCATGATTTGTCAGCTACTGACGTTCGCCTACTGGTAACGAGAGAAAGTGAAAGTCAAGGTCTTTTACGTATATAGCAACTTTCCACTCTCAAAAGACAATTTTCTTGCTGCTGACTCCCAACTTACGACAACTTTCTTCAAGGGGCCACCAAAGATCAATTAATTACCTGTTTTTTGTTCTTTCTGAAGAATAGAAAGTACGCAATAACACTGCCAACAGTCAGCCATACAGCAATACAAGAGCAACAGAGCATGGTTGCAGGTGTGTGAACTGAAACCGAACCGAGAACTTTGGTCGCTACGTGAAATAGCACTCACGTTGTGTTATCATCATTTCGTCAGTGCTCCGCCTATCTCGTCGCACAAAGTTTCTTTCGCAATGACACCTGTGATGCAAGTGGCGAGGGGGAAGGGGGTGCTCCACTGTGGCCAGTGGCTGCAGGGCTAGTTAGAAATATTGGGAAAAGAAAACACTTCAAAACGTAGGTGGTCCGTTCCCCCGTTCCCAAACAGAACGTCTCGTTATATCATCACTCCCGAGACTAATCCTTCATTTTTTCTTTTATTCTTCTCC